TGTGCACGTGCACTAGAATAATTTTGTTCAAACAAAAGTCTATTCAATAAACTTTGTCACACTTTGGTCATGGGGGTGGGAGGGTGTCTGGGTGTGGGTGTGGGTGTGTGTGTGATTGTGTGTGTGTGTGGGGGGGGGTGGGTATGTGATTGTGTGTGTGTGTGTGTGTGTGTGTGTGTGTGTGTGTGTGTGTGTGTGTGTGTGTGTGTGTGTTTGTGTGTGTGGGTTTGTGGATGCGTGAGAACTCACCATCTCCTCGTCGCTGGCAAACGGCTGGGGCTGTTCCTCTCCAGACATGATACTGCGTCCGCGAAGATTCCGAGATCTGGGGAAAGAGAAGGGGGAAAACGGACCTGACCAAAATTGTTGCGGTTACGAGGTCAGAGGGCTTGGAAATGTTATTTAGAATTAATACCTACAGAACGATAGTGACGCAGTCAGTTTAAAAATTGAGGTTCCGTGCGGGGATGTCCGTCGGCACCAAAACTATTTTCGCCCGTGCTGTAGCCCGTCCAACGAAAAGACACGCTTTTTTTAACGGATGACTTGGGACAGATGACATCGATTGTTATCGAGCTACCGTTCCCGGTCTTGTTCCATTTACATCAATATCCGTAAGAAAATAGTTCCGCCTGACTCATATCGAGCAATATTTTATTTTTGCCTCTCAGGAAAAGTGCCCTTCCACACCAATCTGTAATGTTGAAATGAGTATTGCTCGAAAAGACAAAACGGGGTTGTCACGCGTTTAGAGGGCACTCTTTGGGAGAATTAGGGGTCCCGGCCTTATTCCATAGAAATAACACTCGCAATCGGAAACACAAACGGAAGCCGATTAAAAAAGCTGGCTTGAGTTGCCAGGGTCACAATGCCACCCGATGAAGAAAAAAATCAGGATGAAAATATTCTAAATTCGAACGACAAAAAAATACAGAAGACAGCTTTTTTACCCTACTTCCGTTTTTGTTTCCGACTACAAACTCTTAGTGTTATTTCTTTGGAGTTAAGCCGGGACCACTCCTCTCGAAGAATGCCGTTTAGAGAAACGAGGCTAAAAGTAAACGGGATCGAAAGTTATTCGCCAAAAAATCTAGGCCTATGTTTTTGCGTCGGACGAGCGCAGAAAATTTCCCAAACTGAAATGACGGTTCGAGGTCTCCACTTTTTAATTCAAGAATCACTCGCGTTTCTTACTCATGGAATACTGACTTCAAAGTGAACCATTAAAGAGATACATTTATAAATTACAATTTTATTGATCCCAGAGGGGCAGTTTGGTTAACGGTGTCAAACACCGACATTTGCTTAACATTACTGTTGAGTCTAAACTCACTAGATCTGGACCCACTCACTTACTTAGCCATCCGAGCCCCCATCTTTTAATTAGTTAAAACCGTTCGGCTCACCGTGCGACATTTCCAATCAACCACTAAACAACCCTAGATCTAGCTGTACAAAGCCAAGTCCTAGCATTAAGCATTGCCATTACTGGCCTTTGTAGAGCTAAATCTAAGTTTGTTTGAAGTTTGATAACTCATTTGTTAGTGAATGCCATTAGTCGGTAATAATATAATAATAGGATTCTCACTCGGTTGACTAAGCCTTTGGCTCACCGAGTGATATTTCCAATCAAACACTTTTCTAAACAGCCCTAGATCTAGCTCTACAAAGTGCCCAGCTCAGATAGATCTAGCATTGCTATTAGATCTTGATCTAGAATCTAGATCTAGATCTAGTCATTACTTAGTGAAGCTTTTGTTTTATTAAATAGAAAGTGGCTATTCTCACCCGCCCGGAAGTTCTCGCAAGATCAACTCCTCCCCTCTTCTCTCTCTCTCCGTCTCTTTCTGAATACTGTCTATCGGTGTGGACGATCAAATTGACCAAAACAAAGTTAAAAAATGATGTTAAAACACAAAAGTAAATAAATTTGGTTGTCTACAAAGATGCTACGGCTATTTAACTTTTCGAATCGAGCCGAACTACGCGGGTCGCCATTTTGTTTTGCCCGGAAATTCTCGCGCTACTCCTCTCTCTCTTTCTCTCTCTCTCCACTGCCCACAGACAAAATTGTACGCTTTTAGTAGGCTACAATTGTAATGGAACGTTTGTTCACGGCACAGAATTCTACAATTTTTCTGTTATCACAGTGTAGAAATATGTGGTTTTGCCGGGTGAGAATAGCCACAAGACTCGCCTGCACTATTCTCACTCCGGGTGAGAATAGAGGTGGCCTATTAAATATGGAAGAGGCTAGCCGTACTTAATGACGGCTAGACTGGCAGAAGTACGGCTAGACTCGCAGTCTAGCCGTACTTATTCTTAATATGATGGCTAGACTGACCATTTCACAAAAAAATAGGCCTACTGAATTGTAAATATACATTTTTAGTGTGCAGTACCTACCTAAAGTATTTGCATTTGAGACGAAACCAGGTGCCTTAATGACAGTGTATGTATTTGTATTTTAAACCTCCTGTTTTCTAATATTAATAGGGCCTAAGATAAGTACGGCTAGACTGGCAGTCTAGTCGTACTTAGCCAGGCTAGCCGTACTTAAGGACGGCTAGACTGTCAGGCTAGCCGTACTTAATATTGATGGCTGAATTGTAAAAGAAATTTTTAGTTTGCAATGCCTAAAGTATTTGTATTTCAGACAAAACAAAAAGGTGCCTTTCTGACTTGCATGCATTTGAACCTGAATAATTACTAGATCTAGATCTAGATCTAATGAGACCTGTGTACTTAACAGGCTTGAGTCGATAGGGCCAAACCTAGATCTAAGTACGGCTAGACTCTCAGTCTAGCCGTACTACTTAAGTACGGCTAGCCACTTCGATTAAATATTAGTTATAAATTAGTATTAGAATCTTCTAGATCTAGATCTAGATCTAATGAGACCTGTGTACTTAACAGGCTTGAGTCGATAGGGCCAAACCTAGATCTAAGTACGGCTAGACTCTCAGTCTAGCCGTACTACTTAAGTACGGCTAGCCACTTCGATTAAATATTAGTTATAAATTAGTATTAGAATCTTCTAGATCTAGATCTAGTATTAGTATTAGTATTAGGTATTAAGGTTAGGCTCACTGTGTGCTATTCCCATTATACACAAAACCCTAGCCTAGATTTAGCTCTACAAAGGCCAGTCCTACCCCTGTACACTGCATGCAGTGCCAGTGGTCATAAGTTAGAATCACTACAGTCTACAGACTACATCTATACTAAGTTAGGGACTAAGAGCTAAGAAGTACTAAGAAGGAGAAGCAAGCCTAGCTGTGAGTCTTGTTTGGTTCTACACGACTGATACAACATCTAGAATCTAGATCTAGATCTAGATCTAGATCTAGATCTATACTAGCCTATGCAGTTCCAGTGGACATTAGTTAGTTATAATAAGTTAGGGACTAAGAAGAAGTAAGAAGGAGGGGCAAGCCTAGGCTAGGCCTAGGTCTGGATTCTAGGTCTAGATCTGGTCTCTCTCCCTTGGTTCTAGATCTACATGATACAACATCTAGAGTCTAAATCTAGATCTAGATCTATACTAGCCTACACTGCACAGCTTTCAGCTACAATAAACCACCACAGCCATCTGATCATTACCTTAGGTTCTGAATTCAGATCAACAAGGCACAGACAACACGTTCGCAACTGTATGCAGTTTCGCTTTCGACAACGCGGCTTCCGCTTGGCAAATGTTTATGTTTTTCCTAATTTCTGAGCACAAACGAGGGGTGGTGTGCAATCTACCGAAGAAAGGCGGAGGAAGCCGTGACTGAACGTAAAAGACCAAGCGAGTTAAATTATAAAATACAGAGAGAGAGAGAAAGAGAGAGAGAGAGAGAGAGAGAGAAAGAGAGAGATAGAAAGAGAGAGGGGGGAGAGAAAGAGAGAGAGCTAGAGAGAAAGATATTGAGAGAGAGACAGAGAGAGAAAGAGAGAGAAAGATAGAGAGAGAAATATAGAGAGAGAGAGAGAGAGAGATGAGGGGGGGGGGGGGGTAGATGTATGGGGAGATAACAACTTTCAAACGATTGTCTTTCTCTTTCACGAAGGGTTTGTCCACTGAAATAAAATACGCACACAGTGCGTCTTTATCGAAGAGCGCAGACCTCCGGGACACACCGGGAAGAGCAGATTTGCACACCTCGTCTTTTTTTCTGTGCTTTTGTTCGTCTGTACTTCGGTCTGTAGTGTAATAATGGTTAAGGCTGGCTTTTCTTCTTCTTCTTCTTCTTCGTCTTCTTCTTCTTCTTCGTCTTCTTCTTCTCCTTCTCCTTCTCCTTCTCCTTCTCCTTCTCCTTCTTCTTCTTCTTACTGCTTCCCCACCACCACTTTCTCTCATCTCTCATTTGTAAACAGCCACTAGTATCGATTACTCAATGTACATTACTACTCAAATTTTTTAGCTCCCCGTTAAAAATCTTTAGGCTTAGAACTCAAATTCCCATATTTAGGATAACAAACATAAGTTTTAAGGAACAGAGCCCCGTACAGTGGTTTAAAATGTTTGCAGTGTGAGATATGACGTGCGATTCTTAAATAATCGGGTATCGATATTTGATAATTTCGATAATATACCATTAAACGGTATTTTCAACAAATTTCTTTCTTTCCGATTCATGCCGATTATCAGTGTGTTATAGAGGAAGGTTTTCTGGTTCTAATGACCTAGAGAGAGAGTGAGAGAGAGAGAGAGAGAGAGAGAGAGAGAGAGAGAAAGAGAGAAGGAAAAGAGAAGAGAAAGAGAGAGAGAGTGAGAAGAGAAGAGAGAGAGAAGAGAAGAGAAAGAGAAGAGAAGAGAAAAGAAGAGAGAGAGCGGAAAGAAAGGGGAAGAGAGAGAGAGAGAGAGAGAGAGAGGGAGAGAGAGAGAGAGAGAGAGAGAGAGATAAAGAGGGTGGGTTGGAGCAGAGAGAGGGGGGGATTAGGGGTTATGGGGTGACAACATCTTTGCCCCTTATTTTCAAAATATTTTTTTCTCTTTCACGAAAGGTTTGGCGATGATTTGTATTTTCCGCTAGACTGGAAAAATATACGCCCAAAGTGAGCTTTTTCTATGAGCGCAGACCTACGGGACACACCGGGAAGTGCTGCTGACTCTCTCTCCCTCTCTTTCTCTCTCTCCCCTCTCTCTTTTTCCTGAGTGTGTGCGTACATGCGTGCAAGCGTGTGTGCATGCGTGCGTGCGTGCGCGCATGCATGCATGTGCGTGTGTTTGTGTGCGTACAATATATGTATATGGCTGTCGCATTGGTCTTTTATCGATAATTTGTCTCACTTATATTATATGAATGTACGAATAAGAAAACAACTCAAGCCCGACTTTCGACTGGAAATGTTTTAATATGAAATATACCTATTTCGGGTCGGACTGCTAAGCGCGCGCGAGTGTGTGTGTGTGTGTGTGTGTGTGTGTGTGTGTGTGTGTGTGTGTGTGTTGGTGCGTGCGTGTGTGCGGGTTTGAGGATGCGTGAGAACTCACTGTCTCCTCGTCGCTGGCAAACGGCTGGCGCTGCTCCTCTCCGCGAAGATTCCGAGATCGGGGGAAAGAGAAGGGGAAAAATGGACCTGACCAAAACTGTTACGGTTACCAGGTCAGAGGGCTTGGAAACGTTATTTAAAATTAATACCTACAGAACGACACTGACGCAGTCGGTTTAAACATGAGGGACGGAGCGGGGATGCCCGTCGACACCAAAACTATTTTTGCCGGTGCTGTAGCCTGTCCGATGAAAAGACACGATTTTCTTATGGATGACTTGAGACAGACGGCACCGATTGTTAATGTTATCGAGCTACCGTTCCCGGTCTTGTATCAGTTTGTCCCATTTACATATCAATATCCGTAAGAAAATAGTTCCGCCCGACTCATATCGAGCAATATTCTGGCCTCTCTAAGAAAAGTGCCCTTCCACACCAATCTATAACGTTGAAAAAAGTTTTGCTCGAAAAGACAAAACGGGGTTGTCAATCATTTAGAGGGCACTCTTCGGGAGAAGTAGTCCCGGCCTTATTCCGTAGAAATAACACTTGCAATCGGAAACAAAAAAGGAAGCCGATTAAAAAATTAATGTGGGAAATATTCTAAACTTGAAGTAAGGAAAAAAAATTACCGAAGACAGCTTTTTTACTCGACTTGTGTTTTTGTTTCTGACTACAAGTCTTAGTGTTATTTCTATGGTGTTAAGCCGGGACCACTTCCCTCGAAGAGTGCCGTTTAGAGAATCTAGGTTAAAAGTAAACGGGATCGAAAGTTATTCGACAAAAAATCTAGGCTTATGCTTTTGTGTCGGACGAGCTGCGAAAAATTTCCCAAACTGAAATGACGGTTCGAGATCTAGGCCTACTCACTTAGTTGACCTTAGTCACCCGAGCCCCCAACTTTTAATTAGTTAAAACCGTTCGGCTCACCGTGTGACATTTCCAATCAAACACTAAACAACCCTAGATCTAGCATTGAGCATTGCCATTATAGTCATTTGTTAGTGAATGCCATTCTAAGTCGGTAATGATAATAATAGTAATAGGAAGCATACAATCAAACGCTTTTCTAAACAACCCTAGATTTAGCTCTACAAAGTGCCCAGCTGAGATAGATCTAACATTGCCATTAGATCTAGAATCTAGTCATTAATTAGTGAATGCCAATACTCGGTAATAGAGGAAGCTTAAATTTGTTTTACTAAATTAGTATTAGTATTAGTAATTAGGGTTAGGCTCACTGTGTGCTATTCCCATCAAACTTCAAACAAACTTAGATTTAGCTCTACAAAGGCCAGTACATTGCATGCAGTTCCAGTGGACATTAGTTAGTTATAATAAGTGAGGGACTACTAAGAAGGAGAGGCAAGCCTAGGCCTAGGTCTACATTCTAGATTCTAGATCTATATTTATATTTATAATAATTTATATCTAGATATATAGATCTAAGGAGGTCTAGATCTGGTCTCTCTCCCTCGGGAGACTCTGTGGGTCTTGTTTGGTTCTACACGATACACCATCTAGAGTCTAGATCTATACTAGTCTACACTGCAAAGCTTTCAGCTACAATAAACCACCACAGCCATCTGATCATTACCTTAGGTTCCGAATTCAGATCAACAAGGCACAGACAACACGTTCGCAACTGTATGCAGTTTCGCTTTCGAATCAGAGACAACGCGGCTTCCGCTTCCAAATGTTTATGTTTTTTCTATTTCTGAGCACAGACGAGGGGTGGTGTGCAATCAACCAGAGAGACAGAGAGACAGAGAGACAGAGAGACAGAGGGAAGAAGAGAAAGAGAGAGTGAGAGACAGAGAGACAAAGAGGGAAGAAAAGAAAGAGAGAGAGAGGGTGAGAGAGAGAAAGAAAGAGACAGAGAGACATAGAGACAGAGAGAGAGAGAGAGAGAGATAGAGACTGAGAAAGACAAAGAGAGAGAGGCAGAGAGAGAGGCAGAGAGAGAGGCAGAGAGAGAGACAGAGGGAAGAAGAGAAAGAGACAGAGAGACAGAGAGACAAAGAGGGAAGAAAAGAAAGAGAGAGAGGGGGGGGGGGGAGAGAAAGAAAAAGAAACAAAGAGAGAATGAGTGGGGAAATGAGAGAGAGAGAGAGAGAGAGAAAGAAAGAGAGAGAGAGAGAGAGAGAGAGAGAGAGAGAGAGAGAGAGAGAGAGAGAAAGAGAGAAAGAGAGAGTGGGTGGAGATTGAGTTGGCGGGGATTAAGGGGGTATGACAAGACAACGACTTAATGTGCCTCTCACTTTCAAACGATGTTGGTGACTGAAACAAATTACGCACAATGTGAGCCTTTTTCTATGAGCGCAGAACTCCGGGACACACCGAAGATTTAGATCTAGACAAAGAACTAAGAAGGAGAGGCAAGCCTAGGCTTAGTCCGAGGTCTAGATCCAGATCTAGATGTAGTCCCTCTCCTTCAGGAGACTCTGTAAGTCTTGTTTGGTTCTACGCGATACATTATCTAGATCTAGAGCTATACTACACTGACCAGCTTTTAGCTACGATAAAATACAACAGCTATCTAATCATTACCTTATGTTCTGAATCCAGATCAAGGCCCAGATCTACAACACGTTCCCCAGAGATATCCAGTTTCGCTTTCGCGCCACAGGCACGATGGCTGCCGAGGTCAACTTCAGCTTCCGATTTTTGTTTTTAATTTCTGTGCACAAAAGAGAGGTGGTAAGCAACAAACCTAACAAAACCGATAAAAGCCGTAACTGGACGCGACAGAGAAAGTAAGAGATAGATCTACAATATATACAGAGAGAGAGAGAGAGAGAGAGAGAGAGAGAGAGACAGACAAACAGACAGACAGACAGACAGACAGACAGACAGACAGACAGACAGACAGACAGACACACAGTCACACAGCACAGAGAAAGAGACAGAGAGAGAGAAAGAGAGAGAGACAGAGAGAGAGAGAGAGAAAGAGAAAGACTGAGAGAGAAGAAATAAGAGATGGGAAAAGAGAGAGAGAGATATAAAGAGAGGGACAGAGAAATAGAGAGAGGGAAAAAGAGAAAGACAGAGAGGGAGTGAGAGAGAAAGAGAGGATGAGATTAGAAATGAGCGAGAGAAAGAGAGAGAGAAGAGAGTGAGAGAGAAAGACTGAGAGAAACGAAATGAGAGAGGAAAAAAAAAG